ATGAGAGGTTTGCATCCTTTGGAGGCCTGGGAATTACCCTGCGGTGGCAGTTTCACAGGGCATGGTGTCGGTTATGGGGGATCAGTGGATCTGGAGGTGCGTGAGCTCCCTGCAGTGGCTGGTGGGACAGGGGTGCTGGTATGATGCCCCGGTGCTCTGGCTACCCCCAGGAAGCCCCCACCACACATGCAGTACTGTGCTGGGGAGACGGCCTTCCCTTTGCTTCCTTTCTTCTTCCTCATATGCAACCTAAATACCTTCTTAATTTCATCTCATTATTTGCTGCCTAAATAATTCCCGTTTCTCCTGGGGACCATATTTAAACCTTTGATCTTCTCTGAAGTCTCCCAGTCCTGATCACATCCTTTCTATTTAAATGAATCAAATGCCTTTTTGAGTCATGATTTATAAATTTGCCCACAGAGGAATAGAGGCAGCCCCGATACGGCACACCATGAAATCACCCGCTTTGGCTGGGGCCAAAGCACCCTGGGCTGATCCAGAGCACCTCTGACCTCCGTGCCTGGCTCCTCTGCCTGCATCCCTGCCACATCCAACCTGAGCAGTGTATCCTGTGCTCAGACCCAGCCAGAGAATGGCCATCCCCAGGTCAGGAGGAGGGGGAATGTGCCTGCGGTTGATGGATGTGGTCTCCTGGGAGCGGGGCACAGCTGCTGTGCTGCATAACCCCGGCCCCCCATATCCCAGGGGTATCCCAAATGCAGAGCGCAGCTGGAGGGATGGAGAAGAGCAGCCATGTAGGTGCCAGTGTCCCGGACACTGGCTCTGGGCTGGGATGGGGCTCGGCACTGAGGCTGGCAGAGGAAGGGCTGGAGGACAGTGGGTGTTGCTGGAGGTGGATGTGGTGAGGATGAATGTGTTGCTCCGTTGTGCAGCGATGGAGAAGTCAGGGAGCACATTGTCCCTGATCCCAGGGGATCACAGCCGGGAGGGCTGAGCGCTCCAGGCTGAGCCAGGGCCATAGTTACGGAAGCATCTAGGAGAGGCCCCAGCAGGCTCTGGCCCCACACGTGTGTCGCAAGGCACGGGGACAGACCTCCTCTCCAAGCCCGTTTAGGGAAACTGCTAATTAAGCCCCACAGCATCCCTGGGAGGTTGGCACCAGCATCACAGCAGTATCCTAGAGCCTGCAGTGGAGCAGGAGCCATACCCAGTGTCCAGTGCCCTCGTTTGAACGTGCTCTTACTCCTGGTGCTGGTGGGGTGACACAGTGCCCAGCACCCCAGGACAGACACCCCGATGTCCCCACCTCAGCTAGGCTCAGGATGGAGGGCTCCTGGCTGGGATGCTCCAACGCAGTCGGGAGAGAGCCTGTACAAATACTGTTGTTGTTATTATATAGTGAGGCACTTAACGACCTTGGCATGGAGCATTTCCTGGGGATTCATGACCAGTTGGCGTTAATGGTCCTTAGCAGCACCTCGGGCGTCAGCTCCTCCCAGCCCATCATTAATCCACAGGAAATGTCTTGGGCATCGATCCTCATTGCTTAATTAATAAATGCAACTTGTCTCCCTGCCTGAGATTTAGAGGTAGGCGCTGCTTCTTCCCCTGCTGCTTTGAAGGTGACTTCTTTAGCACAGGTCCCTCGCGCCGGGAGGCCCTTGTGGGTTTTGTTTCCTGGCATTCATCTGCGTGTGGGATATGGCAGCAGGAAAAGTCTTTTCCCTCGTGGGCAGGTGGGAAGGAACTGAACTGCTGCTGGATTTGGGGTTTTCCAGTTAACGTGGCACATCTTTCCTACCGAACACAAAGGTTTGAGTACCTTCAGCCGGGTGCATCCGAGAGCCTGAGTGTGAGCCGGCATGGAAGAACCTGGTAATTCTCCAAGGCTGTGGCAGGCTCTGTAATAATCGATGTTTTTTGCCCATGAGTCACAATTCATCTCTAATGTTCCTCAGGGGAGGTGGGATTTGCTATCTTTAGTGCTCACGACTGCCGCTTTCCCGGGCTGAGCATCCCGCTGAGCCCAGACTCCTGCTGCAGGGATGCCGACCTGGCAGCTGGCGTGGAGACGTGGCTGTGTTTAAATCCCATTCCCTGTTTCTCCAGCGTTTACCACCCGTTGGCTTTGTGCAGTGGGTGCCATAGCATAAATCATGTTAATTCCTGAGGTGCTTTTCCAGGGCAAGTCTGAAATTCCCATTTTGGTTCAGTGGCTTGACTGGTGAACTAAATTATCTTCATAGCCCCTTAAGGGCATATTGTCAGCCCAGACTTATTGCCGTTATACGCCATATCTGAAACATTAATATCTCTTCTAAATATAGTGTATTGACAAGGTATCTGGTATAGTGTAAATCCTTGGGACATTTGATCCAGATCATTAAAACTGAGTGAAGGAAGGGAGGAATAGATCAAGTTGCCTTGCCGCTCTTAATTCAAACAAGCGATGAATTATTCATTCCGTTATTAATTCTACAGTCCTCCTGCTTTTTTATGTAGTTAGTTATTTATTTCCCTCCCAGATAGACAGCTCCAAAAGGATGCTCGGGTGCTGCTGAGGGGAGATTTACCTGCTGCAGGATGGGGTGCATGGGGGCAGGCTGCCTGGCAGCATTGGCTGTGCTGTGTGGGGCTCTCGGGGATGCACCAGGCAGAGGTAAGAGCCCAATCCCAGCTCCTAGTGGGAACCCAGGCCCTGCATGGGCATCCGTGGTACCCAGGGAGGAGAAGGCTGTTTGTGGGTGCTGCAGTGGATCTGGGTGTGAGCGGGTCCCGGTGGCCTGGGGAAAGGAGCCGGGATCTGCAGTCACCATGTGTGATATAGCAAGTGTGGGGCACCACTCCGTGCTTGGTTTTCTGCTTCACACTTGTTTTACTGAAGATTGCAGGTAGGGGTTGTCCTTCTGTGGT